ACTCGCCTATTTTTCGCGATATCGAAGTGAAAACAGAGTGATCTTTTGTGATCTAATAACTTATATAACATTGTTTCATAAAAGAAATTCAGGAAAAATCACCGTCCTAAACTGTTCACGACTCTTCCCGGGAGAGCGCGCGTCGTATGAAATGCTGCGCGGCGGCACTCGATATACGTGTTATTTGAATTAACGCCGAGATATGTTTTGAGATCTACGTTTGTAGGTGCCTTCCAGATTTTTTCAACTAAAATATTTTGATTGCAGGTACAAAGGGCATTTAATACACCTCATTTCTGCAGCTAACTCAAAACCGCTAAAAATCGAGATACATGGTTGCGGACTTACGCCGTCAATATTTGCCTGGACATTGAGTGAATAACGCGGAATTTCCCGGGATATAAAGAATCCAAAGAGAAAATATGAAATTCCCGTAATTTCCCACGGTTTTATACGCGGAAATGAAGCGAGCGACTACCCGAAATCCGGAGTAGATATTTGGAGTTACGAGAAATTGAAGGACAATCTCAGATTTCTCCCATCCCAAATAACTGATTGAAATAAACATTACGCTCGCATCTATGTAAAAATCACGTATTTTCCACTGTATTGAGGTGAAAATGCGTCATCATTTATAATTTCAATCAACAACTATGGTGAATTCGCGTATCTGACGCGAGATTAAAGTTAATAGGGTTATTCGTGTTTTTTACGAAACCAATGGAAAAATCGCGTGCTTGCCGCAATATTGCAGTGTTTTGCGCGTAATTACTCAGTTTTCTACACTGAAAAAAGAAGTTACGGGTCATATAGGCATACTGTCCGTTCCGGGCTCAGAGGCCGTAAGTTCCAGGTGCTAGAGCCGTGGTTTTGATTGCTCCGGGTGCGAAGCCCATAGAACTTTCGGCCTCTGAGCCGGAAACGCGGACAGTATGTCTACGTTAGCGTTTCGCTTATCTCAAAGTTACTGACATTTGGTAATATTATGCTGAAAAATTTGCGTATGCGCCACGATATTGAAGTGAATTACACATAATTTTTAATAACTGTACAAATCCGCATGAAAAATCGCTTTTTTCCCCAATTTTGCGGCGATTATCTCGTAGTTTCTCATTTTTTAATAAAATCGCTGGAAAAATCGCGCATTGCCCGTGATTCCGACATGACAAGTACGTAATATTTCAGGAGTCCAAGAATCTGATGGAAATGTCGCGTACCTCTCGCGATATTTCGATGAGAGTCGCGCAAATTCTCACTTTTTATCATGTGGAAACGAAGCGAGCAACTATTCGAACTTCGGAGTAGGTATGTGGTATCACGCTAAATTGAAGGAAAATAATAGATTCTCGCCTATCTCAAATAACAGACGTTTGTATAAGTATGGTGCTCATAGCAAGATAAAAATCGCCTATATTTTCCGCGGTTTTGGGGTGGGATTGCGTAATCTTTTTTTTACGTGAATCAACCACTGGAAAATTCGCGTATGTACCGCGATATTGCAACGATTATCGCGTCATTTCTCTAATGTCTAGTAAAAATCGCCAGAAAAGTCGAGAATCTCCCGCAATACAAATAAGAGAAACGCATAATTTCTCAGGATTCAAGGAATCTGCCGAAAATATAGCTCACATCGCGCGATATTGCGATGTAAGTCGCTCCATTTCTCATTTTGCATCAAGCATGAAATGAAGCGAGCAACTATTCGAACTCCGAAGTAGGCATGTGGTATCACGCTAAATTGAAGGAAAATCATGGGTTTTCGCCTACCCTAAGTTACCGATGTTTGCAAATGTAATGCTCGCGGCGGTATAAATATCGAGTCTTTTTCGCGATATTGGGGTGAAAATAGAGTGATCTTTCATGATCTTAATCAACCACTGGAAAATATAAGGAAAAATATATATATATTTGGAAAATAAAAAACTGGAACACTGAAACACTGGAAAATATATATATATTTAATATAATATATATATTTTCCTTTTTAAGGTTTCATGACGATCCGTCCCTTTTTTAAAGCTGTTATTGCATGTGGTTGCTTAATACCTGGAGTTGGGGCAGAAGTAGAAATAGAAGGGTATATTGGATTACATTTTGCAGCAAGGAAAGATTTTGCCGAGGTAAAGCATAAATCAATTATCTGGTTTGGGAAATTAATAGCACATACGTTGTTTTTAAAATGAGCCAGAAATAGTAGTTCCTTTAAATGTAGTACAACTGCCCCTCCAAGCTGACACGCAAGGAAGCAGGAAACTTTTTTTACAACTTACTATAAACCATTTCCACTTTAGCGTGAGGCGTATAAACAATCGACTTCATTGCGTTTTCGTTGATGTTTTACTTGAATGCTACCTGAACTTTCATTAATATTTTGCTTTTAACTTTAGTACTCGGCAACTACTTGAAAAATTAAATTTTGAGTTACTAAGATTTAAAAAACCACCCATAACTTTTGTTGAAAATTCGGGTGAGAGTTAGGTACCTTAAAATGCGCATCCAAGGGGAGTCAATTTTTCAGAAGTCTCTCCTCAGCCCCCCCCCCCCCCCCCCCCCCCCCCCCCCCCCCCCCCCCCCCCCCCCCCCCCCCCCCCCCCCCCCCCCCCCCCCCCCCCCCCCCCCCCCCCCCCCCCCC